TTGTTTTGCCACAGTTACCCAATTAGGTGCTCCCACAAAGGTGGGTGGGTAGGTATGTATGAGTAAAATGCATAGGATCAGCTGCGATCCTAAGCATATGTACCTGGATGGAAGTCATTCTTATTGAATGCAGTGGGGCTTACTTCTAGGTAACACTGTTTAGAAAGAAGCCTGATCCCATGTCCCACTGAATAAACATGGCTAGAACACAACAGAACTACTAGCCCAATCTCCTATCACAAGCAGAGATCCATAACCAATTAAACGTATGTTTACAATCTGCTAGATGGAACATGTAACTGATCATGTAATCAAGATTTCTCAAAGCTACTCTGACCCGGGTAGCCCAGGCAATCCCAATCTCGTCAGATCTCAAAAGCTAAGCAGGATTGACTTTGGCAAGTACTTGGATGGGAGACCTCCTTGAAATATCAGAGGCAGGGGCAGGCTTTATTCAGCCACCTCTCTGAATATCCTCCAGGTCCCCAATAGGGATCAGTCACCAGAGGTCACCATGACTTCCAGGTCCACACACACTCACATGCACACACAGACACAAAAACAAGATTCCTCAAACTACGATGATACAGAAACCCAGTTGATAGTACTACCCAGCAGGTAATACCCAGTAGATAATACTATTCTTTGGTACTCTCAAAGGTTTGAGAGAGAAGAGGGGGGGTCTCACAATGGGAGAGACACATAACTGCAACTTTTGTTGTACCCCTAGCTTCTAAAATAGTCCTGCAGATCTTCCAAAGTTCAAGCACAGGCCCTGTTACATACGTGCCACTTTTCTAGTCTCATGTTTTGAAACCTGTGAAATCCTACTATGTAGCATACATCTCATGCCTATTTCCCTAGCTGTTGATTTCTGATTAAATACAACTGGCACAAGCACAAACAGAAATAAGCATTCTGAACACTAGGCTCCAAGGTGTTCCTGCCTTCTGAAGATACCCGTATCTGACTCGCCAAAAAAAAGATGCTGCTGTACATTCTATCCACGTTGCAGTTTTCATCATGCAGTGACTTGCAGTAGGCACTCTTGTGAATGAAAACTAATGTGGGAAACAATCTTCCCTCTCTGTAAAAATAAAACAGCAAAGAATTTAAGACCAGGGATCTGTACTAACAAAGAGAGGAGGGAGAAGGGACAGAAATAAAGGAGCACAATATTGTAACGGCTTTTATGAATGCAACACAATAAGCAATGTTGGCAGCCAAGCAGGAAAGCAAAAAATTGACACTTTCTGCCCCCTGCAGTTTATATTGATATCTAGATTTTGAAGACTCAAGGCCTAGAAAGAAATAAAAGGGAGGCTGAGGTTCGTAAAAATAATTTTAAAAAATCAAATGACTGAATCTCTCAGACGCTTGCTGGAGAGCTTACAATGAAAAACAGCTTTGCAAGGCTGCGTTCCTTTGTCAAAGACTGTTTTTCATCACTGAACTGTATACCATCCATCCTTCACGCCACTACTGGTATAAACAGGCCAGATGTTGGCATTTATATATATTTTCTCCTCTGTCATGGATTCTTTGGTACTTGAGTTCAGCACAGCATTAGAGCCCATTCAAGCTGTTCTTCTTTCATATTTTTAGATATACAGACAAACCAGCGGAATAAGATTTTCCAGCAAAAGAATCACCTCCAAAACTCTCATATATAGTCTGTGCCAGAGATATACCACAAAAACACAGCACAGCTGTCAAGAGCAGAAAAGGTTCCACCAAGAAAGGCATGGGTCTTACGCCTCACACACACCCCAAGACCCACATACAAACCCTTGTTGAGTAACAACAACCAACAGCTCATGGGAAATGTTAAGACCAGAAATCATTTGCAGCCTAGGCTTATTAAAAGTGAACATATTCAAAAAGAATATGTAGCACTGAAAGCAAAAAATATTAAGAATCTGTACTTGCAGCATTTCGCTCAGCCCCAGTTACTTCCGGAACGATTAGCATAAACCAATATAGTGTGCTTTTTTTTAAAAAAAAAAAATCTTTTAACCACAAGGAAGAATATGGTGGCTGAAAACCTCACTTCTAAACACAATTAAACTAAAAATACAGTTGTGTCAGAATTACGTTGAGTTTCAATATGATGGCAATCCCAGAATTTCAGACTGTCAATATGGTTCATCAGGTCTGTGAACTTTGCCTACTTACAACACCACCTGACACAACAGGGAGCACTGAATGAGGAACCTCTCCCTCTGTTCTGCTTGATTTCTGCTTGCAGGGAATTAATTTTGCATGAGGAGAGTTCAAAAACTCCATCCCACACCTACACTCTAAAGTGGTACATTCCAATCTCCCAGCTGCTTCTGCTTTGTATGTAGATGAGGCTGTAAGAGTCTGCATGAAAGTTCGGAGGCCTAGGCTGGTGGAAAAAATATCTCCGAGATCCAAAATCCTCATACAGCACTGGGCAGAAACACATTTATGAAAGCAGTGAACACCTTGATTTAAGAATAGGGAGGTCTTGTTTACAATGCAAGACATGTCTAAAAAAATGTTTGTTTTAAGACAGTATCCTCACTGACACTTACTAAATACAATCAACCAATCAGCTGTTCTTCACACATCCCTTTTGATGTTTTTTACCCCCAAATGTCAGTAAGCAAAACTAGTCAGCCTCAATAGTGCTCATCACCGTCAGTTTGCTTCACTGGCCAGCTTCCTAGATATTTTATGCTAGCATCTCACAATCTGAAATACCTATTCATTACTGGCATAAAGTTAAATGCTGGAGTCTTTCAAAAACCCTTAGGTTGGTATCTAGCAACTGAAACCTCTTCCTGGTTTTAGTCTGTGGTGCTACTGGTTTTCAGAGTCTGTTGATTTTTGGTGCTCAAGGCATGCTTTCATGGAGGCAAGGCCCATTTCAGTGCAAGAATTATGTGGTGCTTGGAGACTAGCAGAGAGAGAAAAAATGGAGGTAAGTATACATTTACATTTCAAAACTCTCTCTCTCTCTCTCTCTCTCTCTCTGTGTGTGTGTGTGTGTGTGGTGGGTTATGTACAGAATTATGTTTTCAGAAAAGCAAATGGGATTGGCAAGTTTGTCTTTGACGTGCATCTACACTGTCTAGTCTAGACTACCCATAAAGGTGAATTTACTAAATTTACCAAGGAATTTTAGTCCGTATGAGCTGCTAATTCAATTATTGTCTTCCCACTGTCATGCTCTTATCAAGTGATACCCCCATACGAGAAATTAGAATCACTCCTAGAACCATTCCCATCTACCGGAAACAAAATTTGTTCCCTCTGTCTACTTCCATCTTTGCCTGTCTGAAAATGCCAAATCTATGCATATCCTCTCCTCAGTCCTTGCCCCTATACTTAGACGAAACATCTCCACTCTGCACACTCCCCCAACCCTTCTGCTGATTAAACATCACCCACACTTTCCCCCCTCATTGCCCTAACAGTTCAGTAAGCCACCTTCTAGAGAAAAAGAGAACCGCTTCTTAGCTTTCCTTTTCTATCAAGGCATCAGTCTTTTCTGCTCCAGACTGAGCCCTTAAACAGGAAAAAGACTAAAGAAAGCTCCCCCTGCCACAACCAAACACACAAAAGCAAGGGGTGGCATGTGCTATTTTGCACTGGGAGCTCTCATTCTCCCTCCCTTCTCTTTCCTTCCTCCTCCTACCGCCCTCCCTCATGCATGCTCTGCAGTTGCTGGATTCCGGGAAACCCTCACTCCCTCCAACACTTCCAGGAGGAAGAGAAGGCGGAGCAGTCCTTTTACACCAGACTATCAACCTCTGCCTCTGACTACCTCCCCACCCCATATAAACCAATTTTGCTTCTTGAAGGGGTGGGAGAGTAGATCACAGACTGCCTGTATATTTTGGGCAGGGATATGAAAAAAACCGAGAAAGAATCCCACCCCCAATGGGGAATCACAACCGGGAATTATTCCAGGAAGAGAAACCAAGTGACCTGCCTGGATGAATCACTGCTCTCTCTGTATATCTCTCTGTGTGTATATATGCACATTACTTATTATCCATCGTGACATAAATAATGAGATACATACATATGTATATCATATATATATATATGTGTGTGTACACAAAGACCCCCATACAGTCCATAACTATATAGCCCATTATGAAATATATGCTTTATATAGAATACATCACAAATATGAGATGCAATGCATACCATCTGTACATTTCACACACAGAGACCTCATATATAATATGAGATATGTATTAAATACAAGGACACACTCATACTGTGATAAATATATCTCAGAATAATGAGATATACAGGTACAGAACTAAAACTGCGTATATATACAGGTACAGAACTAAAACTGCGTATATATAAAAAAAGATGTAAACATGTACCATTACAAAAAGTAGATGCAAACATATATCATTATACAGAACATCCATTATAATGGAATATACAGAACATGATGTATAAGATATATGCAGATGTGTATGATCATATGAGACATCTATTTCATTATAATGATATATATATATATGTGTGTGTGTGTTGACCTAAATCATTACAGAGAACATCTATTTCATTATAATGGGATATACACACACAAATATATCCATATATACACACATATGTGTACACAAATATATACACACATATGTATATACTAAGAAGAGGTGTGTATATGTAAACATACATCATTCTCTAGGAGAGATGTGCGATACACATGTGAGACCTACCTACATCATACAAGCATAATTATTTATGATGTATACTTACATATCCCACTGCAACAATGTACCATATATATACACACACTCACAAGGACAGACCTCTGTCTCACGTGTACATCTGTCATGCCCCACTACGGTGAAACAGAGGTATAGATGCAGGAAGTGTGTGCCTATACAGATGCCAGCGACATGCCATGATCCCCAAACACACACAGAGTCCTCCAGTGTCAGGGGTGGGGAGAGGCTTCCCCTTGTCCGTCCCCCCCCCCCACACTCCTCCTTCTCCTTGTTTACCTTGCGCTTCCTGGTCTCGGCCGACCCGCTCCACACGAAGCACTGGTAGATCACCCTCAGGTTCTGCTTCCAGTTCTCCACCTTGAAGCCGGTCACATGGCAGCACCCGGCGGCCGGCGGACTCATGTCAGACCCCCCCACATCAATCTGCCCCGCCCCGCCGGCACGGCTGCTGCTCCAAAGAGT